GTTGGCCAAGTGGTTGCATACGTTACTTTGTTGTGGGAAAACCACAAACAAGCTTCGACTGTTGATACACGCGACCTGGCGAATCTACACATGGCGTTTTATGCCACTATCTCAAGTGCCCTGAGCTAGGAAAGGAGGAAACTATAACCAGTTTTGATTGACGGCTAGAGCCACTACGACCACGTGAAAACCGAACGCTCAACGCTTCACAAGAAATTCAAGTTCCATGCATAATAAACAGTTTGGAAGAGGTACATGAGGTGAATACAGAAGGCGGAATGGTCAGAAGAGAAGATTGCGTTTAAGCTGGGATCAGCGCCCCAACCCTCTGCTTCAATGCGAAGAGTCCATTCCAACAAATGAACTTGTTAAGCAGGTAAGGTCTAGGTTTGATGGTCCGAGCGCCCATGTCACAAGCAGCAGGTGCGCGCGAAGCCTAATGATGCCGGGCAATGTTTTCTTTTGCATACTTCATTTGCAATTAAGAAGCCAGCAACAACGAAAATAAAGCACGCGCCGCCAAACGCATAACTGGGCAGACCTGGCTACTTGAACATAAGTTCCTTTTTTGAAGTGTTTACCTCATCCAAGGCACGTGCCGAAAAACCAAAAAACTAAAAAGGCTTGAACGTTTGAATGTAAGTTCATTTGCTGGAGTGCTTGCCTGATTATACATTGTCTGCAGAGACCCTCCCATCATCGCTTACGCAACAACGTGCATCACTTTGGGTCGGGATGCTCACCCTATATCCACCGAAGAAGGCAACCGTACGAAAATGTGCTCGCTCCTAGCAAGAACCTCACAGATTACTCAGAATGGCGACTCAACAGTTTTCTGCTAGCGAAGCCCTCACCCGTTGTATGCAAATCTTGTAGGCGCATAGAGTGAATTGGGGTCACAAGGGCGGGTATTCCCTTTGATCCCTAGTTCCTCTCGATAAGGCTCAGTCGCTGTGTTTCATTCTAACATATCGAGTAACCACAAACCCGCAGGCATGCTCTAACTCCGCTTGCGTCTAGGCACTCCTTGTCGTGCACAGATAGGTATCGTGCTACTGTTGGTTAAGACCCACGTTGCATGAACCTGAGCCTCCTTCTGCAAGACTTCGTTTACTCAATCCATAGCTGCTCCAAGTTCTGCCCGGCTGCAGGGCCTTGAAGCAACGAATGACCAAAAACGCCGTAGCAACTGTGGCTGCCAGGAGGGCGATTACTAGGAGAAGTGACCTCGAGTGTCCGCCTCCCCTTCTGGGTGGAGAAATCGTCTGATTCAACCTGAACGCTTCCTTGGTTGGGAAAATGAACTGGGAGCTGGGAACAGCCGCGGCCTGTGCTTGAGCGCCGTCCGCTGCCCCCACTGAGGAGGCGACAAGTGGCGAGAACACACCCATTTCGAAAGTCAAAATGGTGTATTATCGCTCTTGGAAAAGCATTAAAAACAACGTTCCTAAAAGTTCAATGTAGAGATGGACGGAGCGCTGCGTGGCAGGTCCAACCCACTCACGCCAGTCGAACACTGCGAGGGTCTCGGTTGCAAAACTCGAATGCATGCCGTGTGCCTTGTTCTCCATATGTGAATATCATGCATGTTTCCTTACAGTTCGAGAGTATATTTGCCCCTTTTGATGAAATGCAAGGCGACATGTACGGTGGTGCCCCATTTGTAACCACTTTCACCACGGTGAGCTATTGAAAGATGATCGGCCGCATGGCTGGCAGGGGTGTGTCTGCTCATTGGGTCCTAAAGACTTAACTGTAACGGCTATAAGTGGCGGAGTGCATAGACCCTTTTTAGTATATAACTGGCTGCTTGTGTTCTTGGCTTTTGGGTGTCTACGGGCGCTTTGCCCTTGGACCCAGTGCAATTTGTCTAAGAGCTTTGCGATAAGCGATCGAGCCAAAAGGCTCAACTTGAGAGTCTCCCCAATGCCGCTGACTTCCCCCTAAAGCGTCCACGCGTCCTGGGCAAAACGGCACAAGGGCCCGTGCGTGACAGATAGGAGACGGCCCATCACGAGTTGCAGCACGCCTTGTGGCAGCTCTTGATGTAAGGCGACCCAGCATGCAAGCATAACCAAGTCCCTAACTAACTAACTAACGTACTAACACTGCCAGTAACTGTTCAACACTAGCTTAGCCCTCTATCCAGCCTGCACGCAAGTTGAAAAACACGGTCCAGCTTGGCACAGCATGCTGCACCTGCTCCCGGCTTCTCCGACAGCCAGCATGCGCCCTAGTGTGTGTGGTCGCCCAGCAAGGTTTGGGCGGACCGAAGGGATCTCTTCTGCAGCATCACATGTTGCTTTTGATGTCCCATCGCTTCTTCTTGCTACATATCTTCTTGCTGCATCTTTTTGTTGCTGCATCTCCTGCACAGCTTGGTGCTTCACCTCTTGCTGCTGCATTGCTTGCTCTTTCGCCGCTTGCCATTGGAGTTCCTGTGGCTCAGGCTACAGTTTCTGCTGCTGCTTAACTGGAAAAAGCAGAAACACCGCAAGGGTGTACATACGGCCTAGCAACGAAGCCGAAGACGGCGAGTACTGCGGTTGACTTTGTATGCATGCTTATTATGAGTAGCTTTTGTTTTTCCGTCAAGGTACAAAATAAGAAATACAAACGCTCACAAGGAGGTAGGCAAAGAGCAACTGGAACGCAGTCTCGCGTCTATCTCCGCGAGGTACGCAGCTTGAAATGCCAATAACGTGGCGTAGTTGTGACTGGTAGAAGTAAAGAGTAATCGCCGAACTGCAAAAAGCCGAAGTATTCTGCCTTTACCATGTGGGCAATGAGATATTGCTGGCGCGAGTTGTCCTACAGTCAGCCATCTCGGCAGGTGCGAATTTGCGACGCTCGCGTGGAAGACGGTTCTGAAGCTGCTCAGGAGCTAGGGCTGAAGGCTATTGGCGGAAGGTTCGCTAATTTTCTCTCCACGTCATTATCAAATCGCGCCGACCAATGACTGTTTGTTTTGTTTGAGATGTTGCCGCCCCACACGTGATTCGACTGGACTGTTTAGCGTATTTGCACGGCGCGGAAGCATACAAAAGCAGGTCCTGGCGAGGTGGTTTCTGCGTGTGCTGGTTTGTGAGTGGTCGGACCGTCTAAAGACTGTTTTCTGAAAGCTCTAAGCTTGCCACCTAGGTCGTCGAGGTCTGGTGCTTTACTCCCAAGACGCCGGAGGCTGTGATGCTGTGACGTCGTCGAGTGTGATAGTTTTCCAGTGACTTGTATGATCACCTGCGCAATATGAAGCCTGCGCTGCTGCTGCTGTGTGCCAGTTGCAGTAGTGCTCTAAGCAGGAAATCAGTGCAAGACTTTGTATTATCTGATTTTCTCGCTGCCGCTAGTGCCGCTAAAACTGTCGCGAGAATGGCGAAGGAGCTTGTTACACGCATTGGCAAGGCTCTGTCGGTCCAATCAAAGGTGGCCAACTTACCTTTAGTGCGTTTTCTGCTAGACAGGGCTGACTTGAAAGCTCGCTTCTGTAAGAATAAGCACATTTTTTCTGTTTCCAACACAGCGTCTTCCTGTCAAGGGGGTTGAGGCCAAGGTATCTCAGGTGTTCGCCATGGTTTGGCGGTCATGCTGATAGCACAACGCAGGCTTGTTACACTAAAAACCAATAAGACCCTGACGTGGTGCTAGTAGGATGCTGTAAGGGCTAGTGCTAGTAGGATGCTGTAAGGGCCACTCTAAGAGGATGTAGCGAAAGGCCTCACTTCGCTTTCGTTTTTGCATGAAGCTGAACAGTGCACCTTCTCGAGGGCTCGCACAAACTCAAAAGGAGGCTCAGTGGTAGGTGCACTATAATAGTGCACAGGTGATATGTATATCTTTGGAGTTTCCCCGAACCTATATGCATAGCTTTTTGTCACATGGATACTATCAGCTATAGTTGAGGAGAACCCAAGCGTGGAAGCGCAATCGAGTTGTTAATGGTTAATGGTATTAAACACTATTCCAACCAAACCAGCAAGCCCAATTTGGAAACGTTGCTTTGCGTCTTTAACACCTCTTATGCAGATGAATTCACCATGGTTAGATGTTTGCACGCCTGTAGCACAGACCTAGTAATTGCGCACCGAGTGAAATGCATCTACGTGACAGTTTCGGACAGGCCACTTATTCAGCAAGACAGACACGGGGGCAGGCCAAAGTCCGCGTTTGTAGGGTAAGATGCCCCTCGTGAATATGTTCCATTGGGGGGCTGCTGGGGACTGCTAGGATCTGCCGCCATGTCACCCATTCTTGAGCAATTGGTAGAAATTCTACCTCAGTACTCTCAAAACGCTGGCGTGGAGTGCTCAGTTGACGAGTGCAGCAACCACGCACAAGGAAGCTTCTTCTGCTGGGGCGGTGCTCTTCCAAACCAGCTGGCTGTTCTTGCGTAGAGCGAGCATCCACGAATGCTCCAGTAGACGAATCGCTCATAGTATTGAACATACTCTGCGTTGTATTTCGCACTGCAAATGCAAGCACAAGATTGGCTTCTCACTCCAACGTCCTCCAAGTTTTCCGCCCGCCGGAAATACGCACTGCATACCACCAGACTAAAGCAGTTCAAGACAAATTACAACTATGCATGGTGAACCTGCCGCGCAAACCAACACTTTCACTGCCCTTCGGAATACCAGGAAGAAAGGGAGATCCATATTCATGGCCTTTCGCAAGCTAAATCCCAACTGGCACCTTTGCTACCAAAGAACCGATCGCTGCTGATGGTCCTGTAATGTTGCATCCTATGTATGCCGTCCTGCCAGTCACTCCAATTCCCACTGTGCCCCTTTCATTTTATCCTGGGCTTCAAAACTTGCCTAGCCATGTTCTGTCCTCGACGTCGCCGAGCTGATGACTTGCTCCTTTCCTCTCACACCTCACACTAGCTTCACAAACAAAACTGTGAAGGTCTCAACGAACACCAGCCAAATTTATCACCCGTAGCACAATATAGAGTAGTGGTAGAAGAATCTGCGTGCTTTCCTTCGTGTACTTATCACTGCCACTCCAGAGCGAACATGGACAAATTAACCCGTGCGGCTGTTGAAGAACACGTGGACGTCCTTCAAGCGGAGACCTACTGTCAACTGCGTCCTCCAAGTGAGAACAAACGGGAGATAACCTCGTGAAGCCTCAATTGCGGGTTAACGAATCCGAATACCTGTGAATATTCTCCTAGTACTCGAGCAGATGCAATATGACCGCTGTAGTCATCTGTGTTTGAAGGACTCCATGCAAGGTTGGCCAAGTGGTTGCATACGTTACTTTGTTGTGGGAAAACCACAAACAAGCTTCGACTGTTGATACACGCGACCTGGCGAATCTACACATGGCGTTTTATGCCACTATCTCAAGTGCCCTGAGCTAGGAAAGGAGGAAACTATAACCAGTTTTGATTGACGGCTAGAGCCACTACGACCACGTGAAAACCGAACGCTCAACGCTTCACAAGAAATTCAAGTTCCATGCATAATAAACAGTTTGGAAGAGGTACATGAGGTGAA